ATTTAAGGATACATTTAATAAAAAACATCTTCAAGATCTGTATGCTGAAAACTACAGAAACTGCTGAGAGAAATTATAGACTTAATACATGAAAAGGTGTAACTGCTCCTCAGCAAATGCCAAATAACTGAAATCGTAACAGTCTCTCAGACCATAGTCCAATCAAATTAGAACTCAGGATTAAGAAACTCACTCAAAACCACACAATTACATGGAAATTGAACAACCTGTTCCTGAATGACTCCTAAGTAAATAATGTAATTAAGGCAGAAATCAAGAAGTTCTTTGAAACCAATGAGAACAAAGAGAACATACCAGAATCTCTGGGATACTCTAAAGCAGTATTAAGAGGGAAATTTATACCACTAAATGCCCACATCAGAAAGTGAGAAAGATCTCAAACTGACAACCTAACATCACAATTAAAGGAGCCAGAGAAACGAGCAAACTAATCCAAAAACTAGCAGAAGACAAGAAATAACTAAGATCAGAGAAGAATTGAAGAAGATACACGAAAAGCCCTCCAAAAAATCAATAAATCAAGGAGCTAGTTTTTTGAAAAAATTAACAAAATACATAGACCACTAGCTAGACTAATAAAGAAGAAAAGAGGGAAGAATCAAACAGACACAATAAAAAATGATAAAGGGATATCACCACTGACCCCATAGAAATACAAACTACCATCACAGAATACTATGAACACTTCTAGGCAAATAAACTAGAAAATCTAGAAGAAATGGATAAATTTCTGGACACATATACCCTCCCAACACTAAACTAGGAGGAAGTCGAATCCCTGAATAGACCAATAACAAGTTTTGAAATTGAGGCACTAATTAATAGCCTACCAACAAAAAAAGCCCAGGACCAGATGGATTCACAGTCAAATTCTACCAGAGGTACAAAGAGGAGCTGGTATCATTCCTTCTGAAACTATTCCAAGTAATTGAAAAGGAGACACTCCTCCCTAACTCACTGTATGATGCGTCATCCTGATACCAAAAACTGGGAAGAGACACAACAAAAAAAGAAAACTTCAGGCCAATATCCCTGATGAACATCAACAGGAAAATCATCAATAAAATACTGGCAAACCAAAACCAGCAGCACATCAAAAAACTTATCCACCACGATAAAGTCAGCTTCATCCCTGGGATGCGAGGCTGGTTCAACATATGAAAATCAATAAACATAATCCTCACATAAACAGAACCAAAGACAAAAACCACATGATAATAGATGCAGAAAGGGGCTTTGATAAAATTCAACATCCCTTCATGTTAAAAACTCTCAATAAACTAGGTATTGCTGGAACATATCTCAAAATAAGAATAGCTATTTATGACAAACTCACAGCCAATATCATATTGAATGGGAAAAAGCTGGAAGCATTCCCTTTGAAAACCGACACCAAGGCAAGGATACCCTCTCTCAACACTCCCATTCAACATAGTATCAGAAGTTCTGGCCAGGGCAATCATGCAAGAGAAAGAAATAAAGGGTATTCAGATAGGAGGAGAGGAAGTCTAATTGTCTCTGTTTGCAGATAACATGATTCTAAATTTAGAAAACCCATCATCTCAGCCCAAAAACTCCTTAAGCTGATAAGCAACTTCAGCAAAGTCTCAGGATACAAAATCAATGTGCAAAAATCACAAGCATTCCTTTACACCAACAACAGACAGGCAGAGAGCCAAATCATGAATGAACTCTCATTCACAATTGCTACACAGAGAATAAAATACCTAGGAATACAGCTAACAAGGGATGAGAAGGATCTCTTCAAGAAGAACTACAAACCACTGCTCGAGGAAATAAGAGAGGACACAAACAAATGGGAAAACATTCCATCCTCATGGATAGGAAGACTCAATATCGTGAAATGCCCACACTGCCCAAAGTAATTTATACATTCAATGCTATTCCCACCAAACTACCATTGACACTTTTCACAGAATTAGAAAAAACTACTTTAAATTTAGTCTGAAATCAAAGAAGACCCCGTATAGCCAAGAAAATCCTAAGCAAAAAGAACAAAGCTGGAAGCATCAGGCTAGCTGACATCAAATTATACTACAAGGCTACAGTAACCAAAACAGCATGGTACGGGTACCAAAACAGACATATAGACCAATGGAACAGAACAGAGACCTCAGAAATAGCACCACACATCTACAACCATCTGATCTTCAACAAACCTGACAAAAACAAGCAGTGGGAAAAGGATCTCCTACTCAATAAATGGTGCTGGGAAAACTGACTAGCCATATGCAGAAAACTGAAACTGGACCCCTTCCTTACACCTTATACAAAAATTAACTCAAGATGAATTAAAGACTTAAAAGTAAAACCCAAACCATAAAAACCCTAGAAGAAAATCTAGGCAATACCACTGAGGACATATGCATGGGCAAAGACTGCATGATGAAAATGCCAAAAGCAATTGCAAAAAAGCCAAAATTGACAAATGGGATCTAATTAAACTAAAGAGCTTCTGCGCAGCAAAAGAAATTGTCATCACAGTGAACAGGCAACCTACAGAATAAGAGAACATTTTTGCGGTCTACCCATCTGACAAAGGTCTAATATCCAGAATTTACAAAGAACTTAAACAAATATACAAGAAACAAACAAACAACTCCATCAAAAAGTGGGCAAAGAATATGAACAGACACTACTCAAAAGAAGACATTTATGCACCCAACAAACATGAACAAAAGCTCAACATCACTGATCATTAGAGAAATGCAAATCAAAACCACAATGAGATACCATCTCGTGTCAGTCAAAATAAAAATATTAAAAAGTCAAGAAACAATAGATGCAGGAAAGGCTGTGGAGAAATAGAAGCGCTTTTACACTGTTGGTGTGAATGTAAATTAGTTCAACCATTGTGGAAGGCAGTGTGGTGATTCCTCAAGGATCTAGAACCAGAAATACCATTTGACCCAGCAATGCCTTACTGGGTATACACCCAGAGGAATATAAATCATTCTACTATAAAGACACATGCACATGTTAAGTTTATTGCAGCACCATTTACAATAGCAAAGTTATGGAACCAACCCAAATGTCCATCAACAATAGACTGAATAAAGGAAACGTGATACATATACACCATGGAATACTACGCAGCCATAAAAAAGAATGAGATCATGTACTTTGCAGGGACATGGATGAAGCTGGAAGCCATCATCCTCAGCAAACTAACACGGGAAGAGAAAACCAAACATTGCATGTTCTCACTCATAAGTGGGAGTTGAACAATGAGAACACATGGACACAGGGAGGGGAACAACACATACCAGCGCCTGTTGGGGGGTGTGGGGTGGGAGGTGAGGGGAGGGAACTTAAAGGATGGGTCAGTAGGTGCAGCAAACCAGCATGGCACATGTATACCTATGTAACAAACCTGCACCTTCTGCACATGTATCCCAGAACTTAAAGTAAAATAAAATTTTTTAAAAAGGTGTAACTGCTTATGGATTTGAAGGGTCCATGTTAGTCAGATATCAGTTCCTTCCAGATATATCTATAATTTAAATGTAATCAAAATGAAAATTCCATCAGGTTCTTTGTAGAAAAAGAGAAAATAATTTTCAAAACATTTAAAAAAAAAAAACAAACATGTATCTGGAAGATGTAAAGAGCTCTTGTAACTCAATAGAAAAGACAACAGAATTTTTTTAGATGAGCAAAAGATTTGAATAGATATTACATAAAACAAAGTATATAAATGTCTATTAAGTCCATGACATCTGCTCAACAGCTTTAGTCATCAGAGAAATGTACATACTATACACCCACAATTAAGGGTTAAAATTAAAAAGAACGACAACACAAGGCACTGACAAGAATGCAGAGTAAATGGAACTTTTAAACATTGCTGATGGAAGTGTAAAACCATACAATCATTTTGGAAAACAGTTAGTAGCTTCTTATAAAGTTAAACATACAATTAACATAAGACCCAGAAATTTCACTCCTCTGTATTCATCTTAAATAGAAATATATTTGACACAAAGATTGT